TGCCAGGAATTGATGGGTCCAGATGCCATGATCTTAGTTTTACCAGGGCTACTCCCTGGTAAGGTGTTATATAAATGCATATAATTTTTTTCATGTTATTTCAGAACTTCTTGTATGTTATTTGTGAAATGTGAATGGCAGCATGATTGAAATAATGAGGACTTTCTTGGTCTTGGAGATCTGATAGATATACCACTCTGCCAAACCTCAGGAATCAACCCTCAGCTTGTTACTATAAGGAAGGAAGAACTATTTAAAGCTTTTCACTTAAATTCAAAATATTATCATGTCTTAAACTGGTCAGAGTAATAGTGTATAGCATGTGTATCTAACTTATAATGAGTTAATAAAATGTATGTCATGTTAATTTGCATTCAGTGTAATTACCTCTGTAGCTCATAATACATATGAGTGTTAACAGCAAAATTAAGACTTTATTTGATTACATGTTTTCTTCAATGAATCAAAGTATGATTTGAAAATCATATTTTTGAAATATCTTTCAATATATCAAAAGATCATTTCAGTTTACCATTGGCTTCCTTGCGTTACTTACATTTTAAAGAAAAATGTACAGATCTTAGTATTTGAAATGTGTAAGTATTGCACTGGACTAATTTCCCTTGGTTTTATCTTTCAGTATATCTTCAGCACACAAAATGTATTTCTTTTTACTCTCTACTCCAACAGCCCACTTTTTGTTTCTTGAGCAATAAAAGGATAAATCTGGTAGAGAAAGATATTAGGAACAGGATCCAAAGCAGTGCCTGACACTGTGGGAACAGGCCTTTATAAGCCAACATCAAGAATTAGGTGCAAATGAGTGAGAGGGTACAAACTGAAGAAAAGCTTGTGACTAACCCATTTATTCATACGCCTGAGAAACTTGAGTATTGCCCCTTCTTACAAAATTAGGAAATAGTTTTCTATTGCACTACAGAGCTTGAAGCTGCATAGGAACACAAAATAATACCAGATGAGTTTGTTTTCACAAACTTGATTTGCTTGTTTTTTAATTATAGGTGTCTTTTCCCTCTGGCTGGGTCCATTGTCCCTACATTTGAGCCCAGCCATAAATAGATATAGGAACTACCATGCACAGTAGTTCCTTTCTGTAGTAAAATGCCAAAGTAAATAACCTTCATGTTCCTTCAGCAGATTCCTCAAGGCTGAACAACTGTATGAGGGAATGTGTGACAGAGAAAATTATTTAGATATTCTACCTGGAGAGAGATTTTCCCAGGTATAGCATCTGGAAAAATGGGTATCTAATAGTCCTTCAATCTGTGTCATGCTGTTTTTATTTTAGAGTGATGTCAAATTACAGATTACATATAATCTGAAGATACTCTTTAATGATTCAGTACTAGATATTCTTGAGTCTGGCCTGACTTCCTCTGGTGGGATAACTATTCTCTCATGCTCAACTAAACTATGTGTGGAGATCTGTGACAGATGTTTTATGATGGGAGTGAGGTGCTTTATTTTGCTTCATCTGAAAAAATACTTGCTTGCAAAAGGGCAAAGTGCTGGAACAGTATACAGATGTTCTATGAAGCTTAACCTCACCAAGAAATATAAGAGAATTAGAGCAACAATTTGTTCATTCTCTTTTCTACCATTCACCAAAGTACCACATCCAGGCTTGCTTTGGAAGAGAGATGTCTCAATGGGAGCATCCATAATGCAGTAATCATTGCTTGTTCTTACATTGTTCAGTGAGGAGCTCTTGGAAATCAAGAATACTTTAGTGCTATAAAGGATGAGACAGTGTGGCCTGGATATTGGAAGAGGGGTTACGGTTACCCCTCTGTCATGATCACATCACCATTTGCTGAATTTTCCTCTCGTTCATAGGGGTGGCCCTGGAGACTGAGGGAATCTGAGGGATTCTAGAACTCTGTGGGCAATCGTGGTAAAGGGCTTCAAGGGAGTGCTGTGAAAGATTTGCAAGTTGTGGTCAGTCATCGTCCTGCCAAACTGAATGCTGTTTTTGATGCTATCCATGCTTAGATGTTCTGGACATTACTCTAGTTGCGTGGGAGCGCTTTCATTTGGTGAGCTCTGAGGACAAGGGAAAAACTCGTACAGCTGTTCAGTTTATCCCCTACCCTGTTAAGCTTATTTGATGGGGACATGACAAGTAGATCTAAGGAGTAGTGAACATTTCTTTGGGTCACTGCCCTTAAAAGGAACAGGATACTGCCCAGTATCCCTGTTTTGAGCAAAGTGTTCAGGAGAGGGGAATCTGGGCAACTGCAGACATTCTTGGAGGATACCAATTAATTTGACCCTTTTCAGTCTTGTGTTTAGGCCTGGTTTCAGGAGTGAACTGGTTGTGGTTGCCTTAATAACTGACTTCCTGCAGGAGAAAGACAAGAGAGAATGCAACTATCTGGATCCTGCTCTGTCTTTCAATATCTTTGGATATGATTGATCATGATATTCTCAAGGACAGTCTTCAGAAGTTGAGATAAGGATACTTCTACTGTGTGCAGGAGCAGTCTCAGAACTATTGGCTCTAGAGGAAGGCAAAACATTTTAAGAATCAAAATGTTGGGTCATGGAATGGGCTGTTCCAGCCTTATTAGAAGCATTCTGATATTGAAACAGTCATTCTGTCCTTACCGGAAATGGTTCCATGGCCAGAAAGCCCTTTTTGAGGTCAGATGTATATTACTTGTACACACTCAGAATGGTGTGTTCTGGCTTCAGAACTCTTCTAATAAAGTCAGTGGAGCCTAATCCAATATCAAGGCAGCCATTCTGAGGTCAAAATGAAAGTTTCAAGATCAGAATGTTTCAACTTTGAAACCATTTGCACACCTCTCAGATTGATGGAGCTTCTGCACCACAGCAGGTGTGTTTGAGATTCCCCAGTATTATGCAACTTCTATTTGAAGCAGCTAGAAAAAAGAGTTTTGCAAGCAGGGTTAGCAATATACTGATAATACTCTTAACCTCTGGGTCAGGACAGGCATGCTTTGAACTAGTACCTAGATCCAGCAGAGGAATAGATGGAGCCAAGAAACTGAGATGGAATTCAGGCAAAGGCCTTATGGATGGATGATTTCTAGTTTGAGAAGGGGGTGTTGCCTTTTCTAAATGAAGTTGAATGTTGTCAGAAAGAACTTGGGGAATGTCCTGGAGTCATCGCTTTCATTGGAGCTCCAAGTTGCCTCCTTGGCCAGGAGCAGTTAGCTTCTTGCTAGCTTTGCTAATATGATCCTCTTAGTAACAAGTTGCAGCATATGCTGTGCCTCAGTTGAAGCAGTTGCATTGTTGCCGGTTAGTACTAAGTCATGTTCTAGCTTTTGCTTTTGACATACAAATCCCTGAATAGCTGGGGACGAGGATCCCTAATAGACCATCTTCTCTGAACAACTGGCCAGTCCCTGAGACTGTGGGGGAAGCCATACTGTGTGTGCTGAGAATCGCAGCATGCCTGTGGTGACCTCTGTCCTCTGGGCCCATGGCTGATGTCTCCATTCAGCCTTCCCTGCATAAAGGCTGGTTGAGTGGGCCCTTTGTTCCTCTTTTCCCTCTGCCTATATATTCACTAGAGACCCAGGTGGCATGATGGCTAAGGTTCTAGCTGAGGTTCTAGTCCTCCGTGGAAGCTGCCTGAGTGACTTTGGGCCAGTCCCTCCTTCTCGATCCAAGAGCCAATGTGGAGTAGTGGTGAAGGTGCTGGACTGAGTGAGGAGACCCATGTTCGAGGGTTATCGTGGCAGGAAAAAAAATAGGAAGTGGAAGGACTTCATATGGCATCTTGAATTCCTAAATGAGAGGCAGGACAAAAACCTAATGTATAAATAATTATTCATTAATAATGCTTTATATTGATGTTTTATTTTATACTTGATAAACAACTCTGAAATGTGATTGCATTGGAAGCAATATAAAAATGTGATTAATAAAATAATAGATTTTCCTAGGTAGTTTCAGTTCCTCCTGTGATTATCATAAGTGTTTTTAAAAAGGATTCTGTATCTTCCACATCACAAGTTTCGTGATTTGTTCAGATTTTCCCTACAGCTGAAGCATGATGTATGTAGTTACCTGTAAAAATGGGAAATTACGAAGCTGAAAAAGCATGAGAATGATAATAATGTTGTGTTACCACATTTTTTTTTCTTTTGAAGAGCACAAACTCTAACACTGAGGATTTGTTCTCTTCTAGGATCGGAACAGAATGTATGACACATTGAATATGCATTCACTGGAAAATTCCCTTATTGACATAATGAGAGCTGAGCATGATCCTCTTAAAGGTACGTGGGCTTATGCTTCAATCTAGAGCACTGCTTATGCTGCAGTGCTTGGAAATAACCACCAACAAGTGAATTTAAAAATTTAATGCACACTCTAAATAAAGGAATTGTGGCCAGAAGTTATTGTCAGATTCTTGCTAGGAAATATTCTGATGGGACCTTTGCTCCCAACCCCACAGAGAAAAATGGACGTTCACACTAGAAAACCCTGCGGTCAATTCAAATCACTTTTTGTAAAAGAAGAATGAAGGCTGAATTACTGCTGTCTTGTTTAGAAAATGGGCAATTGAGAGTCATTATTTCACTAAAGCTATGGGTTCCTGTAGCAAAATGTTTCCAGTACTGTTCATAATACTGCATTGCTTTTTTTCTGACCATGTTTAAAAGAATTCATTAATGTTTGTCTTGTAAGTATGTCAAATTGAACCCTCTTCTCAGCTTGACCCTAACGCTTTTAGTAATTAGGTGACAAGCGTGTCTCTAGTTGAGCCTGTAATTCAACCATACAACATATAAATAAGAACAGATGTAAACAGCATTAGTCACAAGGCAAAAAAGTTGTCTTGGTGACATACTTTGTAGGCGGCTAAAACAAGATAGCTAACAAGTTCAAACTTCCTAGAAAAAAATTCTTGAGATTTCACTCTACTGCGGGAGTTTTATTCACTAACATTGGATGAAGCATAATGCTTCCCAGTGTGCACACTGATTAAATACCAAATATTGTATCAAAATATGCTCTGTTATTAATTTTTGGTACTGTAGAAATCCCATCTAAATCATACCTGCTAATAAACAGTTTAGTGGGGCCCTGCCCAGGATTACACCCTAAAAGCCTCTATTAAATTATAGCCTGAAACACGTTGAGTTTAATGGACCACAGTTCTGAGCAAATGCTTACATAATTGTGTGTTAACTTTATTCAAAGCAGGCTTTTAAAGAAGAGGAGGCTTCATTAACTTGTGAAAACATTGATTCAGCAAGGATTTTTATTTCCAAGAAGGATACATGTTTGTTATACATTAAACATTTAAAGTATATTTAAAAAGTAGAGCTAAACCTGATTTTTTGTCTGTCAGTTTTATGTCAATTTTTTCACGAGTTTCTCAGGATTTAGAATAACAGCTAAACAGAATGATAATGCTGAGAAATAACAGTTTCTGTCTTTGCTTAAAGCCGTAATATGTATCAGTTGAAAATGTAACTTTATATTAGTGGCCTCTGGAATAGAAAAACATATCTTGGATTCATATAATAAAAACATATAATGGATTCATTACTGACTCCATTAGCAGCAGCTTAATTTTTTATCTGACCCAGTGCCTAATAAATTTGGAAAGTTTTTTTTAATATATTTTATTTGCAATGATTAGAATAACTTACGTGAAAATCACTGTTGGAGACCTGATACTTCATCAGCATCTTGGTAATTAGGAAAATCTAATGAGGGCTTTGGGTTTATTTTTGTTAGGGTGTTTTGTTTTGGTGTGGAAGGTAGAAACTCCAACAAGCCACCTACTAAAACTGGAGTGAGCGGTGCAGAAGTGGGCATTAGACCATCTCCAGTTCATTTTTATGGGGCTTGTGCATAAACATCTTAGAAGTTGTGTCATGATAGCCTTCACCAAAACTTTGCTGGTCTCCATAAATGCATTGGATGGAATACATAAAATTATCTGCTGCTAATTCTGTCCAGCTACATATGTATTAAAAGTAAATTTGCCAACTTTTAGGGTCAAGGTATTGGAATTCAGAGGTCATACAGAATTGTGCCATTTTGGTACTTTTCCCTGTGTTGCATCAGAGCAGAATGTTTGTCCGATCAAAAACTTAAAAGCAAAAAAGTCCAGTTGAATTGGAGTCTCTTGCTCTGTAATCTGAAATAAAGATGTGAGCTGTACTATATTGACCTTAATTGGGTGATTTCACTGTTTAATTTTAGCATCTTACAAGTCGCAAAGTCTCAAGAGTTGCTTCTTTAAAAGAAAGGGAGAGAAAACTATAAAAGTGTGTAAATTGTTAAGTAGTCTTAAAATAGGGAGGATTACTTTTGTGTTTTTGAAAATGCCTGTTTTGTTCAACAGTATTTACTGCATTCAAGTTGATATAAAACTAATACACCCAATCCTGCATGTCAGGAGCTTTCAGTATTAGTAGTAATTTTGAAGACAGAATAACCTCACTAAAAGCTTGAGTATGTTGTTAACGTATGTGAGGATTATAAAGGATTTAGTTTTAAAAAGACTGTCTTCATATTGTGAGCAAAGCAGCTATTGTATGTTATTTGGAACATAAAGGTATTGAATAAATTATAAAATATTTTCCTATATAGTTCTAAATATTTACAACTAAATTAACAAGAACTTTTCTTTTTTTATCTTAGCATCTGTTAATCTAGCATCTCAAAATACAAGTAAAAATAACATCTGTTAGATTAAATCGTACATAGTCTACAGTGCAGCTTTAAAAAACCCTGATATTACAGCCCCTTGATATTTATGTATTAGGGCTGATTTATTCAGTAAGATTAAAGTTTTCATAATGAAAAAGAAGACTTGGAATAATGACAGCTATTTTTGGATATTTTAAATAAGGAGGGCTTTATCCTTTTGAAGCTGATCTCAAAGCACATGTGTGTCTTATGACCGAAGGATTAAGGAGAAGTTTCTTCATTTAACTTGAAGTTAAGTCAGGCATGTCAGCTAATGAATTAAGATGTTTTATTTCTGAACAGTAGAGAGTTACCACGTGTATTTAAACGTCTAGTTATTTCCTCCTCTTTGATTATTTAATTATAATTCCTTCATCTATTTGATTTTAGGTCGTTTAAGTTACCCACATCCAGGAACTGACAATCTTCTAATGTTAAATGGTAAGGTTTAGTCTTCTGTCCGTTTTAACTATCTGTTATCCAATTGAATTGGAAATTCTGTTTTAAAAATGTACAATTGCATTTTCTATCAGTGTGCAAAGTTCAACTTTCTTCAGAGAACCATGGTCATCTCCAGTTTAAAGAAGTAACATCTATGCTTACAAAATGTTGATGCATAGCCCTATCATTTATTTATTTTATATATGATTTCCATCTGACTTCTGCTTTTTATAAATGTCTGATGATGAGGATATGAAGGCTGGTATCAGTATATAACAATTTGTCTTGACCTATAAAATCTAATACAGCTTTTTTCAGCCGCATGTCCCTGCAGATGTTATGGGAACACCAGATATAGAATACAGTTACTAATACATTGATTTATGGGACTGGAATTAATTTCTTTTAATTCTGCCATCTCCTGAATTTTGCTTACTGTTATTGTGGTTGCAGCCTTAGCATCATAAATCTGTCACTCTTATCTAAGAGTAGCATATTGAACTCAGTGGGACTTAACATGGCTTGTCCCAAATTTGTGACCTGATTTCATGATTATGCCAAAGTCAGGAGGAATAACTTTACATTTAAGTGAGCTTAATACAAGGATTTTAAGAGTACAAGGGTGCTTCCCTCCTAGTGGAGAGAGTCGAGAGCAATCCAGTATTAAACATGCTGCAAAACCAAGAAACTTTCTGTTCCTCATCCACTTGCTACAATCGGGATTTTTTTGTTCTCCCTGCTTTTAAGTGGATGGAAGTTTCCATCTGTATTTGAGAGTATTGACTAGGCTACCTTTGATGCTTGTCCTATTGCTTCCCTCTGAGTTTCTCACTCCAGCTCAAGGAAAAGTAGTTATGTTTAGGGGGAAAAAGGACACTAGCTGCTTAAAGTATCACTGAAGAGTGCATAGGACTTGCTAGAATGGGGGCCTTTTTCTTCTGGGAGTATTGGTTGATCCCCAGAGCACTGAACATTTTCCAGAGGAGGGGAATAAGCCCACTGGATGTGCCATTGGCAGTGCTGAATGGTTTCAATCATGTTAGTGAACTGGGGGGAGGGATTATAGGCTAAATATGTTGTTTCCAAACTCAGCACCTTGGTGAATTCACCAAGATCTCTGGGAAAAGCTGTGTTGGGTTATGAGGTCTTTGGGAGCTAGATGGTGGTGCGCCAGCATTCACTGGGTTATGCCCAGTTATTGTCAAGCCTTTGAGGTAGGCAAACAAAAAGCACTTAGATTTCTGGAAAGTTCTTTATTGCTAGTAGGTTAATGTAACAGAATTGTGAAAGCCTGTCAAAGTAATTCTCCAGCTCAACTTACATCAGCCTTCCCAGGTAGACCAGTTAGGTAACATGACCAGATGAGCTAATTCTACTTTACTGTAAGGCCACATTAACAGAATCTCGCAAGTCTGAAAGTACAAATCTCCCACCATCTCCTTTACAGCCTGAGAAGTTAGGGAGGGTCCCTTCTGAGCCTCTTTTTCCAGACATTATGCAGCTGCAGGCTATGCCCTCTCTTATCTAACCATTCCCTAGGCAGCAACCCATTCCTTAAGGTCTTTCTCACACACCATTACAACTTATATCTAGTGTAATTAAGGCCCAGTTAATCTGAGCCTCTTTCTCATGTTTTCCCCTTTCCCTGGACTAAGGAATCTTATCTGTAATGGTCCAACTCCCTCCTGCAATGATCTTGCTCCCTCCTCCATGTTACCAGGGTATGTGAAGCATTCCATCAGTTATGTTGAATGGGGATTTCTAAAGCAGGTTCCTTGCCTTCTGGCAAGTGTTCCATTATTTCAGAAGCTTTTTATTAATCCAATATAAAGTATATAAAATGGGGTCCTTGGCATATTTGTGCATTGTATTTACAAATTACATTCTACATTTATAGCATTTATGAATCTTTTTGCTATTTGAAATACTATATAGAAGGTCCTTGGGGTACAACCACTTGTTAGCAATTGTTCAAAGTTACAACAATGCTCAAAGAGAGGGACTTACGACCTGTCCTCGGAGTTCCGGTTGTCATGGCGTCCCAGCAGTCACATAATTGTGATTCAGGTGCTTGGCAACTGACTCACAATTATGATGCCCGCAGCATCTCACAGATCACCATTTGTGACTCCCTGCCAGCTTCCCACAAGCAAAGTCAATGGGGAAGCCGGCAGGAGGTCGCAAGTCATTCTCACAAGTCGCTCCTGCAGTTTTTTGCCCGCCCATGCTCCATAGTGCCCACCCATGGCACCCACCTGTGTTCCATAGTCCATGCCACCCTCCCGCCTGATTGTAGCTCTTGCCGGCCTGCTTGCCTGGTACTCCTGCCTCTTTGCAGTCATGTGAGGTTCTCACTTAATGACCCGTGTGGTTCTGGGGTTACAATGGCAACCGAGACTGACAGCATTGCCGCCGCTAAGCGATGCAGTTCCATGATGTCATGCTTTATGACATATCGCTTAGTGACAGAAATTCCAGCCCCAATTGCTGTCATAATCTGAGGACTACCTGTACATACATACTTGAGACTAAATCCCACTGAACTCAAAAAGTCTTATATCTAAGTAGAGAAAGACAGATAATATTGCAACGTTACTTGGCTTCATACCAAGAGCCAATATTAACAATTTTTGTCCCTTAAACTGTTGGGATGCCAACATCCAGCGGGTACAGACTATGATCAGCCAGAACAATCTTGCAAGTACTCCAGTGCAGCTTTACGCATACCAAATTGTTCAATGTAGCTAACTTCCAGATAAGCGTGTATCGGATTGTATTACTAATCTCTTGTAGAAATTCAACCATTTGAAAAAACACAGTCTCATAAAAAATATTCACTCCCTTTCAGATTTTCTAATTTTTTACCTCTTGACATTGAATGTTATGTGTCCTTCATGTGGAGCCTAGTGATACATAGAGGGAGTCTGAATGAATAAATAGCACTTAGACTGGAGTTATTTCATTTATTTCATAAGCAATTCAACACATGATTTGCCAGTGTGAAAAGTAATTGCCACCCTAGTTCAATCTGTTGATTGTAACAAGGTCACTTCTGTGATTACATCATTAAATGGCTGATTTGGGCTGGCCCTGCTACACAGAATCTGTTTCCTTTATCTCACAGATTCTATATTATGTCCCTCTCAGTAGAAACTCCTGAATGCCGCCGTAAAATGTTACTGATGATTATCGATCTGGAAAATATAACTAAATTGTTTCTAAAGTACTGTTCCACAGTCAAGAGAAAATCAAGAAATGGAGATTGAAGACAATAGTGAATCTTCACAAGAATGGCCTTTCTGACAAAATTATTTCAAGAGAACAGCATAAATTCTCCCAAAAATCAAAGACCATTCCAAAACAACATCCAGGGATTCACAGGCCTCTTGTGTTAGCTAAAATCAGTGTTTATGCCTCCATCATCAGAAAAGCATTGGATAAAAATGGGATTTATGGAAAAGTAGGAAAGTGGAACCCTTGCTCACTAAGAACATTGTTGCCAAAAAACAGTTCTACTTCTGGAGAACTGTTTTATGGATGGATGAGTCAAGTGGAACTTTCCAGGCTCTGTAGTTGTCATTATGTATGGTGGAAACCAAACACTGCATTCCACAATAAGTATCTTTCACCATTTATTAAGCAGGAAAAGGATCCCAAACATACAAGCAAATCTGAAAGAGAATGAAGATCAAATGCAGTATTTTGGAATACTAAGTTGAAATGTAGATGTCAGTTGTACAGAAATGTGGCATAACCTGAAACAAGCATTTCATATAAGGAAATTTCAAACATTGCTGAGTTGAAGTAGTTCACCATGGAGGAATGGGCTAAAATTCCTACACCTCAGTCAAAGAAACTGATCACTAATTACAACAGAAAGTGTTTGGTTGCAGCTTACTTTTTCACATTGGTATATCCCATACTTGAAGACTTTGTTTATAACATAAATGAAGCATGGACCAAAATGTGGTGTTAAATCCCAAACTCCCTTTATAGGACTCAAATGAAGGTCTGCTAACATTTGTGGCAAAAATACACAAAAATTGAGAATGTTGCGGGGGGGGGGACTTTTTCACAGACTGTATACTACTATTCAGATTTATAAGATAAATAGATTAATAGAGCTAGAGCTGCAGATAGCTAAGTTTTAAAAGCTTATAACATTTCCTTTTCCTTTGTTGTTGGTCCATTTTTGATATCCACATAATCTTAGGCCTATAAAATGGCAAACAGAGTAGCATAGCAGGATCTGTCAACTGTCACATTTTTGCCCAGAAATACACAGACTGTTCACAACAGGGCCTGTATGAGTGGTTTGGTCAACATTCATCTTTTGACTTAAGACAAGAAAGCAAGGCAGTTTTACAGATAATTTGTGAATTTTCCACAAAATTGTGGAGTCCTTGGGGTTCTCTGAGCTTGGTGGTTTTCTTGCAGACATTTTGTTACCCAGTTAGGTAACATTTTCAGTGCTACAAAATGTTGCTAAGCAAGTCGGTCAATATTTCAGAGCAATTATAGTTGACCCAAATGGAGTGTAAAGGAATTCCTTCCTTATTTTTCAATTTGGATTCCATATGGGTGAATACCTTTCATTCTTTGTGGTCAGTCTTGGTGATGATATACATTTACTTCAGGTTTTCTAACTAGGAACTGATTTTACAAGTATTTTATCAAAGCATTCTGAAGTTGAGTTAAGTTACAAGATATGACAAAGCCCTTTCTGTCTTCCTAACCCTATCAATTGCTATTTTTCCTCCCACTGCCTGCTTTGAAAACATTTTTTTGTTCAGTCAATGGCTGTCGTACAGAATGTGTTTCAGAACACAGTATTGTAGCTATTTTTTGTAATTTCTAGGTCAAGGCCCAGATAGATAGAAAGACATTGCCTACTCTCTTTTTATTATATAGAACTAGAATGCAGAGCAAAAAATAAGATTTCTTTCATCTCTAGTTTGTTGTTTTCTTCGTTTTACCTGAAAGTGATTATCATTTTTAAA